GAAACTTGAGATTCTTGTATTCCACTTGCTCCACATTGAAACCTATTGTAGGAATCGTAGTGACGACTTCTCCAACCTAAAAGGCAAACTGTTTCTAACCCGATATGTGTAAAATGCGCAGTACCTGTAATCTATATAGAATCGTTGTCTTTCCAGCACCATCAAGACCAAGAATCAGGATACGCATCTCTCGTTGTCCAAATAGACTGCGAAAATAGCTGAGAACTCCTCCCATATCTAAAGGAAACACATGTAAGTTTTAAAAAAATGCGATAGGCTTTAGTTCGAATGCGAGCTGAGAAAGCATACCTCAATTCTGTGTTGACCTTTGCCAGTCACGCTTACCTGAAGGCCTCAAATGAAATTTACACCTGTGTAAAATGATTGTGGTAGATAAAGGGACAAAAACCGTGGACAAATTAGCAGGTCAGGAATTTGCAGTTTATAATTTCTATCAAAACAAACAGTAACAATGTGGACAACAATTCATAACAGACAAATCAAATAGACTAATCTAACAACAGGCACCACTAATAGTTGATACTCTAAGCCTTAAGACTCAGTCTTCTTAAAAAACTTGAGCTTGTTCTTGAATTTCTTAGGATTGATACCATAAGCGCGTAAACGACTGTCATCAATCTTCAATTCTTCCTAAAGTAAAACAAGCTTTCACAAGTTCTAGAGCCACAAAAACATACCTTTCCAGCCTCGAGATGCTTCCTCTTCTTTTTCGGTCTCGGCGGCTGCTGCTCCTCTTCAACCTTCACGGAATCCTCAAGTTGCACCGCAGATTCTGCCTTTCGCTTTCTATTCCGCTTTTTCTTCTTCTTTGGTTGTTCATTACCGTTAGCACTGACCGCATCTACTCCAGGCGCATCGCTGGCAGAATCAGGAAGTGGTACTGGCGATGTTGCTTCCTAAAACCAAATCTCAGTTTCGCAAAAGGATCTAACCCTTGTCTAAGCGTACTCTATCAAAGAAAAGTAGCAAATTTTGCACTAAATTATGTTCGCAATACATCACAACTTTAACAACAAATTTAGACCACGCAAGAGAAG